CCGATTCCCCGATTCCCCGATTCCCCGATTCCCCGATTCCCCGATTCCCCGATTCCCCGATTCCCCGATTCCCGTTCCCCGATTTCCGTTTCCCGTTCCCCGTTCCCCGTTTTAAAGATAGCCGGCTGGAAAGTTTTTTGTATTTGAGGCGATTGACATGCGCAGTGCAATGCCTGCCAGTCATTAACGACTAATCCAATACACACACTGGATCGCCTAAATAGGGGAGTGCAACCAACACGTCAACCTCACCGGGGGATCGAACCCCGCCCCTACAGACAAAAAACATAAAAACAAACGAGGAACGAACAGGCAAAAACTGTCAGACAACAGGACAAACATACACTGTTCAGAGCAACGGCGAAAGGTGGACCCAAAAGAGGGACACCTGTCAACAGACTGATCCTAAAAGAATAGGCTCGCCACCAATATGCATCTGAAAGAAACCAAGACCAAAAACAACAACAACAAAACAGACAACAAGCAAAGTCCAAACTCAACGCAGCAGAGGCAAAAACGAGAGAACAAAGCCAAACGGGGTGGACAGCAAAACAGGAAGCAAAACCAAAACGAAGCAAGGCAAAGGAAAAACTGGACGACAATGCGGCAACAACGAAGGACACGGTGCAGCGACAGAACCAACAAGGCGAGTAGGAGGAACAGGACCAGACCAAACACGAGGAGCAGAAGTTACAACAGGCGAAGCAGCAACGGAACTAACAGGACCAGACCAAACACGAGGAGCAGAACTTAAAGCAGGCGAAGTAGCGACGGAACAAACACGAGAGGCAGGAGAACTCACAAATGTAACAGCAGGCGAAGCAGCAATGGAACTAACAGAGCTACCATATGGAACAGAAGCGACGGGACGACTGGGTGGAACAGGACCAGACCAGACACGAGTAGCAGCAGCACTTACAGGACAACTAGAGGCAACAGCGGGCGAAAAGGCAGCAGAACAACTGGACTCAGCAGGCAAAAAACGAGGCGAAGACAAGTCGGCAAAATCAAAACGCGGACGAGACAAAAACGGACGACGCGGAAAACAATCAGGCTCATAAACAGGCATCGCAGCATCAGGCACATCAGGCTCATAAACAGGCTCAGCAACATCAGGCTCGTAAACAGGCTCAGCAACATCAGGCTCGTAAACAGGCTCAGCAACATCAGTAACAGCAAGACCAGACGTGGAAGTGGCGACAGAACAGGACGGGCGAGAGAGCAAGGAAGCAGCATAACCAGGCAAAAACGGCGAACGAGACGACACAGCAGCAGACTTAGCGAGAACCATTTGCTTGACATCATATAACTGACAGTCCATACACAAACACGCAGGCACATCATTCTAACAAGAAGGCTCAACAATATCCTCAGAAGACATCTTAACAAACACAACGGAACAACAAAACCGCCAAAATACGTGAAAAAAACTTCCGAGTGGGTCAGTCAAATTGTGGTAGCTGTTAAGAAGTCTGGTGAGCTGCGTGAATGCATCGATGCCAAACCTCTCGATGCTGCTTTTAAGAGGGAACATTACCAAATTCCAGTTGTCGATGAATTGTTGCCTGACCTGACAGATGCACGTGTGTTTACTAAAGTCGATTTAGCGTCAGCGTTTTGGTATCTGGAGCTGGATGAAGAATCTAGCATGCTCACAACCTTCGCTACGCCATATGGGCGATATCGTTGGCTTCGGTTACCGTCTGGTCTCAGCGTTTCGAGTGAAATATTTCAGAAACATCGCCATCAAGAATTACATGGTCTTCCCGGTGTTAAACGCATTGCAGATGATGTTCTAATCCATGGTACAAACGAGACTGATCATGACAGCAATTTTAGAACGGTTTATGAGCAGATGTCAGCAGAAACGCATCAAGCTTAACAGTCAGAAGCTGGAGTTGAAAGCTAAGGAAGGTCCATTCCATGGACACCTGCTTACCACAGAGGGTCTAAAGCCAGATCCTAATGCAAAATGGGCACCCCATAGCGTACGCCAGTAGAGCCTTGACAGGAACTGAGTCCCGTTATGCGCAAATTGAAAAAGAAATGTTGGCAATTGTTTTCTCAGTGGAGAAGTTCAATGATTACGCGTTCGGTCTAAAACCCAATGTCCACACTGACCACAAGCCTTTAGAATCGATCGTCAAGAAGTCGTTACATCGTGCCCCAAAGAGGTTGCAAGGAATGATGATCCGTTTGCAGAAGTATGACCTGGAAATTCGATATGAGCGTGGGAACAGAATGTTTCTGGCGGACACATTCTCCACAGCGTATCTTCCATCGCGTATACAATTTGAATCAGAATTTGAAACTATCAATGTGACGAACTATCTGCCAATATCTCAAGCAAGACTGTTGCAAATTCAGCGTGAGACAGAGAAGGATGAGTCCCTTCAATCCTTAAAGGCCGTTATTCAGCAGGGCTGGCCTGATGACAAGAGTGCCCTGCCTCCTGTTGTCTCTCTGTATTTCAACATGAGAGACGAAATGTCCGTTCAGGATGGACTTATTTTCGAAGGAGAGAAAGTAGTAGTCCCGAAAGCCGCCAGAGGCGAACTTCTCAGGAGAATTCACAACTCACACCTGGGAGTCAATGGTTGTCTTAACAGAGCACGCGAGTGTCTTTATTGGCCTGGCATGAACGGCGATATCAAGAATCACGTATCTACCTGTGAAGCCTGTAGAGAGTACGAGCGAAGCCAGACCAAGGAAACACTGAAGAGTCACCAAACGCCTAGTCGGCCCTGGCAGTACGTTGCAGCTGACCTTTTCGAGTTAGAGGGAAAGAGCTACTTGGTGACGTCCGATTATTTCAGTGACTTCTTTGAACTTGACCACCTCAGAAGCACAACGTCGGTGTCTGTAATCAGGAAGCTCAAAGCGCATTTCGCGAGGCACGACATACCGGAACAGCTAGTCAGAGACAACGGACCACAGTTTTCTTATAGTGATTTCCTGAAATTCTTTAGTGAGTAGGACTTTGATCACCGTACAAGCAGTGCCTGTCACAGTCAGTCAGTCAGTCCAGTGGCAAAGCAGAACGTGCTGTGAAAGAAGCCAAGAAGATTTTCTTGAAGTGCAAGAAGGCTGGTTCAGATGGGTTTCTAGCTCTGCTTGACTACAGGAATACACCACCGGCGGTAATTCAAATCAGCCCAGCTCAGCGCCTTCTTAATAGAAGGACAAGAAGTCTTCTACCCATGTCTGCTGGTTTATTAAAGCCGTTCGTAGTTGATGAAGATAGACCCAACCCAAGCTTCGCCTGCGTCAGCAACAGCAAGCTCGTTATTACAACAGAGGCGCCCGTGACTTAGACCCTCTGGAGAAAGGCGATGCTGTAAGAATTCAGCCATGGCAGGTTGGAAAGAAGGAATAGCAGAAAGGAGTTGTCAACAATCGCTCGAGTGAAAGATCCTACGAAGTAGAACTTCCACAAGGCGTTCTTCGCAGGAACAGAATTCATCTTAGAAAGACCAACGTATCTGCTGCTACGACCAATGACACACAACCTGAGCAGTGTAACGAGCCTCAGCCACAAGAGCCCGTGGAGTCTGTTACCGAAACCAATGAGTTGCCTTCTCAATCTGCAGTTGAAGTGCCGACTGAAGTACCTCCGCCTGCAACACCTGTGAAAGCACCTGAGCCAAGACGGTCTCAGCGCGTCCGCAGAGTCCCAGAACATCTTGAGGACTATGTTTTGACCTAATTGCCTAAGCCATGAACTGTTGCAACTTAAGGACTGTTTCCGTTATTGAAGAGAGTGTGTAATAGTGTGTTACAACGCGAACCGTTATAGTTTAAGGACTCTTTTTTTGTTATAAAAGGGTGTGATAATGTGCTAATTTATGTATAAAATGTTCAAGAATGCACGTACAAGAATGTGGATGAGTGAATAAGAACATGAATAAGTATGTCGTAATTTATGCCTCCTTAGTCAGTTGTATCATGTAACGCGACGGTTAGGATCTCTTTAGCATTAAAGCGTTTCTTTTTCAAATGTCCTTCTCGTGCTGTTAAAGATCTGTTAAAACATAGAACACCCTTGGCAAGTATATAGGATCCAGGTAGGTCTCAAATTAAAGAGAAAAGCGTCCACTCGTCTGGACGCGGGGCCATCAAATGAACAGTTAGATTTTCAGCAGAGTTTGGTGTGGACATTTTAATTTGTGGACTTAATCCCCGATGAAAAGGGAGTTTGTAGTAGACTGATACCATGCGAGGTCCAAGCGAGGTCGACACAATCTCGTTACCAGATGCCGCGGTCCCTTTAAATTGAACCAAGAAATCGATTCCTCTGTAAATCGAAGCCGGGCCAACATTACTTACAGCGGTTACTCTTCTAACGAATGTTCAGATCCGTTATTGAAGTTGAACACATGCGCACAATCAAACTGGAACAAGGATTTTCTAGTCACCGCTGACCAAAAACGCGCGGGCTCTGAAAACGAGATTCAAGGTAAGCAAGGTGTGGAAACCGAGTGCGAGGAATTTAAAACCAGTATAGCACAAACAGGTAAAGACACTGGGACACGCATGTTATAGACTTTTTCCATGATTAAAAGTCAATTGTTTGTCTGTTTTAAAGATTTTTTTTTCAGTGTCTCTTCTCGTGTCGAGTTAGAACATTTTTCACTGTTTAGAACCTCATCGCTTTTATAATAACGAAACAGACTTCTACGTCGAAG